GAAATGCTTGTAGGAGAAATTTTTTAAGCTTGGGAGGGCCTGTGTTAGGGGCATATGTGCATAAGGAAAGGTGAAAGTCATCTCCCATCCCACTGAGAGGTGTCTGGATTTGATTTCTTACCGCTAGACATCAGCACAAAAGATGCAAATGAAGCTGGATTCACTAACCCAGCCTGGGAGGGGTTCCTGCTGCGGTGGGACTGATTTCCCCAGCGAGGCCAGGCAGGCTGCCTTGGCAGCGTGTTTCAGTTCACAGTTGCGAGGTGGCCTAGGCACTGGCTAATATTTTTTTTTCAATTTAGGGCCAAAGACAGCTGGGTTCAGGAACTCCGAGGAGTTTGCCTGGCATAAATGAGAAAATAACTAAACACTCCTTCATTGTAAACCACTCTGAGGAGCGGGACAGCTACAAGGTAGCTTGTTTATTTTGTTCTGGAAGTTCTGATATCCATCTGCTGAGTAGCTGTTTAGGACTGTTGGAGAGCTGCTGACCCAAAGGCTGGTGTTTTCTTTGGTCTGGAATCAGATGAAGTATCCTATTACACCAGCAGGCTGGGACACAATGCTGAGAAAGTGCATTAGCAAAAAAATCAGTATTTGTCAGGATGTTACTGTCGTTCTTTCTGTTTGTTTTCTTGGCTGTGGGTAGCACTGAAGTGTGTTTGTGAAGGAGAGAAGACAATTAAGTGACAGTTCTCTATCTCTAAAATTAGCACGGTCCTTGGTAATGGGGTTTCCAGAATGATTTGTGATTGTGATAAAGGGACTAAACTTTCTCAGTGTTTTACTTTTTGTATCTCGGGTGACTTTTCCTCAAGAAGCAAAGGGTAGGGGGAGGAGAACTTGCATGTCATCTTCCTTAGGGGAAATTGTGAATATCCTCTGTAAAGAAACTGATAATTGAAGAAAATGCAAACCTACACAGCAAAACCCTACCAAACAGGACTCCCCTGAATCTAAGTTCTCTGGGGCCGAAATAGCTGCCAAAGGGGAATTTGAGATGTTGCTTCTTAGCATTTTCTTTGAGCGGATGAACAGGAAGCACGTTAACAGCGATGAGTGCTCACTGTCAAACTGGAACTGTTACAGTATTTTCCCATTGGGGAACTTCCCCATTAGCAGGAAATATATTTAAATCCTCCAATCCCAAATGCTTTTTTTGTTGTTTTTTTTCTAATTTTGAAAATGCAATGCGACATGAAGCTTTTACTAGTCCAGGTGGAAATTATGGGTTAGTTTCTTCAGCTAGGAGCAAGTCACTCGCCCGGTTTCATGTGACTGGCATAACCATTGCACGCACCCCTCAGAGCGGGGTAAAGTGCGCTTCTGCAGGTGAATGTCTTGGGTTCTGAGCCTTGAGGAGTGTGTAGGGTGTCTTGTTTAACAACCTTGTTCAGAATGCATTATTAAGAGCTTTTTATAGCAATTCACGTCAGCCATTCTGAGTCTTTCCTACTGCATACTGGCCTTGTCCGGTGAGACAGATTTACTGCAGGTGGCTGTGGTGAATGCAATTCTCTCTCCTGAAGATTTCCAAAATGATGCAGAAGTGATTCTGCTCACAGGCCAGAACAAACTGGCTGGGGAGGGAAATGTTTCTACAGAACAGTAACAAGAAAGTATCCCAATAATGGCACAGAAATTTTTCTGCTTGACCTTGTCTGGATTAGGAGGATAAGTTTGTGGTTAAAGTGCAAAAAGCATGTTGCCCTGTTAAGTGCTTTTCACTCCTAGCATCTGTAAAGGTGCTGGCAGGTTATGGCCTGTCATTTGCTGAGTCTTAATACCCATCCTCTCTCATTTAGCTTTGTTTGCCTGATGTGGTGAACAGTCAAATTGAGAAAATAGTCTGTTTTGGGGCAAGATCTGGATGGATCTTCTACAGATGGGATAGATGGCTGGGCTGTGTTCTGTAAGAGCTGAGTACTAGCTGGAATGGAGCTCTGTGCTTGTCACATTTAGGAAAAATAGAATTCTGGATTTATTTAAAAATGAAAAACAAAGCCCCCCAAACATCAAAACTACCTTTGGACTTCAGACCAACTCCTCTTTCCTGTTGTCCTTCAAAGCAAGAATTCTACAGTCCAAATACAGAGAGTATAGTAATAATAGACACCTCATGATGTATAAAGAGACTGGAATTACATTGTTTTGGGAAAACACCCATTCCTCTGTTGTCAGCCCTTGCTTCTTTGAGGAGAACTGTTTTGGGGATGGGGTATTCTTGTTTTGAGGTACTCTGTTCACCTAGTATTTTGAGAACAGAAGCCTAGTGTTCTCAGAGCTGATACAGCTCCTGGGACTTCTAGAGTTTATTTCATACTGGACTGTCAAGTTCCCATTTCATTCCTAAACATACATATATCGTACAGCCTGTAGTTTGCAAACCTTGTTTTGGGTGACTGGACAGCGTGCAAACAGCACTGTTATCTTTACCTCGATAGGTGAGGGATTTCCTTACTCTGTGTGTTCTGTTTAGTTTAGGGATCTGTCAGACAGGGGATATATCTCTCTTCCTCTAGAGGAATGCAGCAGGGAATCAATCAAGATGACTTCAGTTGTCTGTCTCCCCAAGGCAATGTAAGGAAAACAGTTCTGGTTACCTCCATGCTGTTGCTTTCTGCCGCAGACAGCCTAGCTACACGTGAGGGTGAGAACAAGACTTCATGAAGTTGGTTCCATTGCTAGTAACTGGGTAGATTGCACTAAACACTAAACAAAACCAGAAGGCTAACTGGAGAGTGCATGCTGCCTGCCCAAGAACTGATGCTCCTTGAAGATGTAGTGCCAAAGAGTTAACGTGCCTTCTGGAGTGGAAGCTTTCTGTGTATTGCTTGTAGTCGTGGGGGCTGTGACGTGTTCAAAATGATAGAAAAGGCCTACAATCTTCCTGTCAATGTCTCTGTCAAATGTGTCGTGGAGGGACCGGGGTAGTAAATAGCGGAGAACCTGAAATGTTGCCTGAAAACTGCTTTATCAAAAGGGCTATGTGTTCTTGTCATTCTGGAGGTCTCCTCTGGTTCGGGCTGTGAAGTGGCAATACACTGCTTTTTGACCAGTATCATGTGTTGAAAGGCTTCCAGGCTGTATTGACAGCACCACCTTAATCTTTGATCGCTCTTTCCCTCTCCTTCCGTATTCCTTGCAAGTTGTTCCTCCTAAGTTGTCACATTTTCAGCAGTGCCTTGTTGCATTCTACTGCTTTCACTTTTCTATCATGCAAGGGTGTAATTTCTGGAATTTGTAACAGGCTAATTTACAATCTTCAGTTTGTGCTGTTTCCTAAAAGACAAAGATCACCAGCTGGGGACAATTCACTTAAAACATCCCAGTCTCCACAACTGCAGCAGGAGCAGTAACATCACTGCTCTTTGACACGAGCTAAAAGTCAGTGCTGGTGAAAGCATCGAAGGGACTACAGAAGAAGGGATAGCAAACACAAGTGCAAGCCTGAGCCATGCTTGTTCTTTTCCCACTTACCTGGTGGAATAGAAAGTAACTTGCTCTATCACCATGTGCAGTTTAGTTTCCACCAGGAGATAAATCAGGGTAACAGATACTGCCTGCCAGTCCCTCCCTTTCGTACCATACATCTGTTACAAGCTCCCTGTCCCCTTGTGCTTATATTCTCTCCTACTTGCCTCAAGTCATTCTCTCCATTAGAACAGCCAGAAACCCTTACTGCTATGGAAGAAGCAGAATATAAAAAAAACCCACCTCTGTAAATAATTCAGTGTGCAGCACAAAAGGAAAAGCAAGACTGTAAGGTGTTAACTGTTATCCTTTAAATCTGAGCTGTGGCTTACTGAGCATATGAAGCAGGGCATTTTTGAGTGGTATAAATTATTCAGAACTGCTGGAGGGTGACAAGAAATGACAATCTTGTTTGGAGGGTGTGAATTTTGCCTGCCTGGAATATCCTCTATCTTTGCTTTGCTCAAATAGCCTTATGTATGAAGCACTTTATCCAAATGCAGGAATTAAAGAACTATTACTACAGCTGGTAGACTGGAAATGTTTACAGATCCTATATTACATTCCAAGATTCTATCTGTAAGTGTTATATGTGTTTGTAAAAGTGTTTAAAAAAAAAAAACAACCAAAAAACCCAACTTGTGTAAGCAGTTACATCTGTGATGTGTTATTTCTAGGGCAGTTTGATTTAACGTTTGGTGCCCAGTGTGCTGAGTTGGGCTGACCCAGGTGCTCAGCTGGTCCCCTGCTACTGATACCCAGGAAAGCTTGTAGCTCTGCAACACAGCCTTGCTGAAAGTTGATTTTCTGTTCAATGTATTTTCACCTGAAATGCTCCAAACAGTTCAAGTTCCCAGCAGGAGCTGCAAGGGTTGAAAGCAAGACTCCAAGAATGTCATATATCTACATCTGAGTTCTGTGGGTTTTTTTTTTAACTCCTACAGCCTTCAGTTGGAAAATCCTGAAAGGATCTCTACTAAACTTTTCAAAAGGCTTTCACAGCTTGTCCCAGGGAGGTAATGCTAATGGGGAATGGTAAGGACAAGTGGAGCAGAGGAAAGTGGCATAGAGAAGATAATGATTCTGCTGCATCACCGTCCTGTTCATGTTTCTGTGAACTGAAGCCAACTCCTGAAAGGCCCTTAAAGTCTAGAAGGTTGCTGGCGGTTTACAATAAAACAACACGTGCTTTTACCAGAAAATAATTTTTAATATTTTAAAAACATTTCTAACCATGAGGGAAAAGCCTAAACAAACAAATTAGTCATCTGCAGAGAAAAGGATGAACATTAAGTTTTAAATTGTGATCATGTAACTACTCAAGTATACCATGGTCAGGGACTTCACGGTGTGGAAAATCTAGTTACTTTTATTTCTGCTCTAAGAAACCCAGTGACACTTCCCAGTGACACGGCAAATAAATCTCCTTTGCTGGAGTGTTGAGAAAGGAGACCCTTATAAATAGTACTTGGGAGTGTTCTAGCCCAATGTGGGCAGCAGCACGTGAATTGAATGCTTCTGTTTTCTTAAAGTTCCTCCACTTCTTTCAGGGTGTGCTCTAGGATTGTGTCTTGTCCCTGGAACTTAAAATAGCCACGAAACAACTTTTTCTGAAGCAGTAGGGGAAACCAATAGATATCATCTGCCCACATGCGACTGAACGGCACCTCATCCAGCTGAAACCACTGCGGACGCATTTCTGGTGGGAGAAAACAAAAGTGCTTTGCATGAGACTTTCTTTTAGGGTTTTTTTGCTGCCTAGACTTGAAATATCTGTCAACCAGCAGCTTCCCTCTGCAGCCCAGCTGCCTGCCTTCTCAGAGGGATTTTGTCACAAATACTTCTGCATTTCTTAAGAGCAATACTGTCTCAAAAGAGAATGCACATCCTCCCTTCCCCTCCACTAGCAACCTACCATCACTTTCTGTTGGCTCTCCATGAAAATGATCTGCCCGGAAGATGTGAACTTCCATGAGTTCAGAGTTGCCTACAAATTCAAACGTGATCTGACCCATCTTCTGCAAGGTGTCCACGGTCAGTCCGCTTTCCTCCAGGAGCTCCCTGCACAAGGAACAGATTTCTTTACATGAAAGTGAACAGTGGGAGAACAAAAAAAAAAAATCAGTTGGTACCTTCACTTGCTTGTTCAAAACATTTCCAGTGAACCAGAGGTGAAAATTACACCTGTGAAACAGAGCAGGGCGCAGTGGAGTTGTGTCTGGCACCAAACTATTAGCCTGCTTACACCACAGCAGAGCCACGTCAGGCTGGCTTGTGTGTTATTACAAGCTCCTAAAGGCTGGTAGGAAAATAATCTATGAGGGAAGGGGAAAATTCAGGAAAAGGTCTTGATTAGTGTAATTTACACTCCCTGCAACGTGATCTCTGAGATTAGTTAGAAGTGTGCTAATGCTTATGTGATTACAGTCAGATGTGGCCTAAGAACTCAAAAGATACTCTTCACTCAGGCAAAAGGCTTTGCTGACATCAAGCAAAATCTTTTAGAACTGTTGGGAAGTGGGTAATAACACTAGAACACTTGTACTTGCTACAACACAAGCTACTTCTGAGGCTAACTGAAGCTTACTTAAATAACGCTACACACTACATAACATTTGCACGCAGAGCATTAGGAATATCATTGCCCCTTCAAATGCCGTATAAAAATGCAAAGCAATTGTGTAGACTTTCTGCTCCTTGGAAGTACATTTAGCGTAACGAGAGGCTGGCAAGACTTTTAAGAGCACTTTCAGCGACTTGCTAGACAGCTCTTTTCCAGGCATCACCATGCACGGCTACTTGAAGCACATTCAATTATTTTCTCTGTTTATGCTATGCACTTAGGGCTTTTTTGTTTGTTTGTTTTTTACCTACCTCTAACAGAATCAGCATAGCTTCAGGTTAGCTTTGTTTTTCTAACACAGAAAAATAAGGGATTCTTTGAAACAGCGTATCTTCAGTTAAGGTTAATAATTAATGTAGTTGCATATTTGGCAGTAAGTTAACAATTTAAAAACATAATGAAAATTATCTTTAAGGCTCCAGCTTTCTTTGGCATCAATTTCATGGATCCTATCCTTCAAAATTATATCCCAACTTAACGTCTTAGCTAATTTTAGTTTATCTTCCCAAGGGCCAATGTCTAAAATAGAGGCACTTTTCCAGCAACTAAACTAAAAGCCTCATTTTATAGGCTGCAATAATTGAACAATAAATCACAAGCCTGCTATGGTTGTCCAAGCACTTAATCTGTCAGCTGTTTGGCTCTGTATATAGTTAAGTGGAAACATTACAGGTAGCAAACTAGAAATAATGAAGTAGCTAAATGCTCCCCTTACAAGATGTGCCACTGAGCAGCCGTGGGTACCCAAGCACTCACCAGAGTTATATCATACCCGGTGGAGGATAGAAATCTCACTGATAGAGGAGACTTTTCACGTTCCAGCCCAATATTTAACTACCTGTGCTGGGAGGTCACTTCACCCCTTACACCACTGCAAATCCAACTGAGGCAGCGCAACGTGGCGTAATACCTCAACTCCGAACATGGAGCAGAGGTGGCGCAAGCGAAGTTTGATGTGGACTGTGCGACACCTGAAGGGCAGCTGCACCCTGAGCCTTCTCCTGGGAGAGGCAGCACTGCCGCAGGGGTGTCCCTGCCAGGGTGTGGGCTGTGTGCCCAGCTGGCTCTGGGCGCTGCTTTTCCTGCTCAGTTGACCTCAGCAGGA